GCTTAGGGTTTAAGGTTTAAGGTTTAAGGTTTAAGGTTTAAGGTTTAGGGTTTAGGGCTTAAGGTTTAAGGTTTAAGGTTTAAGGTTTAGGGTTTAGGGCTTAAGGTTTAGGGTTTAGGGCTTAAGGTTTAAAGGGTTTAGGGTTTAAGGTTTAGGGTTTAGGGTTTAAGGTTGAGTGTTTAGGGTTAAAAGTTTAAGGTATAGGGTTTGAGGTTTAGGGTCTAGGGTTTAGGGTTTCGGGCTTCAGGTTTAGGGTTTAGGGTTTGAGTTTGAGGTTGAGGGTTTTAGGTTTTAGGTGTAGGGTTTAAGGTTTAGGGTCCAGGGTTTAGGGTTTAAGGCTTAGGTTTTAGGGCTTCAGGTTAAGGGTTTAGGGTTTGGTTTTCAGAGGTTTCCAAAATCACTACATTGGGGAATAGACTTTGCCTTGCATCATATTAGGGATCCTGCTTCACGGTAAAGTATATTCCTTCATTGAGCGATTTTGGAAGGTCTTTGTTTCCAGAGATTTCAGTATCACCGAATTCGGGTTTCAGAAGGCTTTGCAGGGGTTTGCTAAGTTTTTGCTAGTTTTGAGGGATCTTTGTGCGATTCAAGGGTCTTAAATATGATCTTTTGTGGGTGGGTTCTATAACTTATCCCTGAATCAGGGTTTAGGGCCTAGGGTATCGGGTGTGGCAGGTAACTTTAAGGTTAGGGTTTAGGGTTCAGGGGCTTTCCTTGTTAAGAACCTCCGCAGGAGCTCAGTTTCAGATCACATGGGGCTTCATTTGACGGTTTAAGATAGGGGTAGTTCTCTAAATCAGGGTCCCTTGTGGGGTCCCTTTTATAAGGGCGCCGTATTTTGGGGGGACCTAAAAAGGGACCCTAATTTTCAAAACCGCCCATAGATGCCACGTGTACGAGGTATTGGGCTCTTTCGGATGAAGCTTCTGATTGCAACGGTTTCGGGTTTAGGGTTTAGGGTTTTGTAGCAAGGTTTAGGAACAACGGTAATAGTAGTTGAACTGTGTATAGTAGTATCCTAAATTGCGGGTGTGAGCGTTGAGAGATAAGTGCACCCAAAGGCTAAAAGTTAAGGCTTTGGGTGTGGAGGTAAGGTTTGGGAGTCGAAAGGTCAGGGCTTTAGGGAATTTTTAAGTGTAGGGTTTAGGGTTTTAGGTGACCTGTTTAGGGGTCTAGTTTGGCGCTTCAAGTATAAGGTTAAGAATGCGGCGTTCACGAGGTATAGCTGGCACAGCGGAAGGTTCAAGGGGCACAACGTGGACAAACAAAAGCAAGTATCATTTGAGATTGGAGCCTCATGATTCGTGTCATTAATGTCTAAGTGCAGGGTAGCAAACACTTGTGGAGCAATCTTTTCGGCCTAGAACGTCCTTTTCACCACCCCCTTTGCCATAAACCCTAAGCCGTAAACGTTGCCCCGAGCCTCCCCATGTCGCCAGGAGAATGCCGAGAAATTCCGGCTGGAGGCTCAAAAAGCACGTCAAGCAGCTCAGCCTCATTCATCGATTTAATGCAGGGATTTCAGTTTCAGGTTTAGGGTGTAGGGTTTAGGGGTGTAGGGTTTAGGGTGACGCATGGGGCTTCAGTACGTAGGTCGAATAGGGGGGGAATAGGGGTTTGGGGTTTATTTGTATTATGGTTGCACAGAGACTACTAGCGAATAATATAATTTTTCTAAGTATTCCGACGCTTGTATGACTCTGTTTGTCGGGGTTGGTTGTTGTCTTGGGCTTCAAGGAAACAAGAACAATGTAGCCTTAATCTTTATGTAGGCCCATGAAGGGCGACCTAAGCGATCGGAACCCCCTCCGATTTTTCTAGTTCCTTAACTTCCTTAACCACTGGGCCCAAAGACCTCAAAACTTCGGAAACCCGAAAACTTTTAAAGTGTAAATTTTGGAGCAAGACCCAAAAAGGATCCCTGCCTAACAGTTCCTTAAAGGATTCCTTAAAGGATGCCTTGAAGGAACCCTAAACCCTAAACCCTAAACCCTAAACCCTAACCCCCCAAAAAGGAACACCCAACATCACCAGGCCGAGCAGCAAGCAAAGATCGCTGAGCAAGAGGCCCTCCTCAAGCTCCGCAAAGCAGGCACCCAATACGGTTTAGGGTTTAGGGTTTAGGGGCCACCTGCTTTTCCGAAAATTGGGTACCGTATTTGGGGGTCCTTATAATAAGGATCCTACTATCCAGGGTACTATATTACGGTCCCCTTTTTTCGGAAACTCCCATTTCAGGGTTTCTAGGGCTCTCATTACAGGGTAGCGGGGTTGTGGTGTAGGTGGGGGTTAGAGTTTAGGGATTTGGCCTAAGTAAGGACTTCGGGTTTCCGAGTTCCTGACCACGAAGCCTTGCAACGGTGTAGGGCCAAGGGGCTAA